GATGGCGGCAAGGCGGAGGCGACGAGGGGGAGAAGAGAGAGTGGTGAATTGGGGGAGGAAGAGGAAGGAATCAAGCCGCGCGGGGGGTTAGGTGAGAATAGATTTAACAGTAGCATGGGAGGGGAAAACGCGCTGCTGCTAAAATCGGTAGTAGTAGCGCCGTTTCTAGAAGGGCGCTACTACTATACCTAGCACGTCGGGAATGGTGTGGCAATTATAGTAGTAGCGCGTTCAGTTCCTGCCGCGCTACTTCTAAGGGGGTAACAATAGCGCGGTTTTGGCAGACGCGCTACTGCTAATTAGCAGTAGCGCCTCATTTTAACACGCGCTACTGGTAAGATTCTGTGTATAAGGTTTTCCCTAGTAGTGGTAGGACATGGGACACAGGCAGGCTCACGGGACTCAAGGAGGTGCCGTCTCCCATGCCCCACTGTTCCTTGTCGAAGTCCGGAACCTTCACAACATTGGTGGACATGAAATCAATGATGGATATGTCTTGGGAGGAGTTGGCGGCGTCCACCACGATGTGGTTGAAGCGGCCGGGGTGGGCGTACACCACACGACGCACCGGAGAATGCGACTTCGCCTTGCCAACGTCCACCGTTGTGAGGGCTACCGCCACCTCCTGCGCCTGCTACCTCGCATGGCGAGCACGCTGCGCCATATTTGCGTCGGCGGACGCTCATGCGTTCACCTCTGCCTCGGCACACCTACAAAGTGGTTGCACATCCCGTCGCGTTTGGACGCCAGGCGACCGTAACGCCTCCAGTGAGGAAAAGACAACAAACCTCGCGCTGGATCCATGCGCCATTTGGGTGGACATAATGAATTCCTGACAGAAGGAGTCCGAGCACTGCCGTCGGGCGGCCTCCTCCCGGGAGCGGCGGAGCGCAAGGCGGACGGTCAAATCCATCTGCGTGGGATGAGCTCATATGGAATACCGCATATAGGTAGGTATGATGGACTCATATGGAATAACTTTGGGTTTAAGGAACTGGATGCACAAGCAGTGTTTCCGATTAGTACAGGTGAAGGCTAGCAAAAGATACTAAGCAAGCACCATATGTTGGAGGATCCATAAAAATATAACTTCTATACAAATATACCCAAACATAACTCATTATGTGGTCTTCCTTGTCCAACTTCAACTAATTTGCAGAAATTTGAAAATAATTAATGGGGCTCACAATCATAGAATATGCCCAAGATAGTATATTTACATGTGAAATCTCTCTTCCTTCAATATTCTTTCATGAATTGTTCAAGTGACCAATGCTATGTTTGCTAACTTTCAATAAATTTTACCACCTATACTTCTTA